GGGAGATGATAGGGGGGCTGCCAGTGAGTGCTCAGCGCCCACCATTTTTCCCCCATGGGTGCTCCAGGGCTGGAGCACCCAGGCAGTCGGCGCCTATGTGAAGCATATAGTGATTGAGCACATGTTAATATCTGTGGGTGGAGGTGCTGATGGGAATAGAAGTTTTACTTCATTAAAGACTAGAAGATTTGACCCTCCAACTTTCTTTCAAGAGGAAGAGCTGCCCAGAGCTCCTGTGCCTGTTTATTTCCCTTTCCTGACTGCAGTGGCCCTGATAAACCTCAGAAGTCTCAATTTTTCTCTCAACTTTAAAATGTGGAATTTTCTTGGTGTTTGGTTTTAAATATTCTCCTCTGAGAACTGCAACTCAGTCACTGGAGTGTTGTGTTTAAGAGCCTTCTGGAAAGTAACTAGCCTTTAAACAGAAGTGAAAGCAGTGTTGCCAACTCTCATGATTTTGTCATGAGTCTCAAGATAATTATTGTTTTCCTTAAAGCCCCACTCCTGGAGTGAAGTGGATGTGTGATGATTTCAGCCTTCATTCTTAAAGAAAAATGAAGTTTCTAGCCCTCGTGGCTGTGGAGAAAGCTTCAAAATGTGACCCAGTGCACCCTAAAGGCTCAAAAAGCAGAAGGCAAATAAAAAGAACCCCAAAGCTATTATTTTTACATAATCTCATTTTAAAGCCAATCTCATGATTTTTGGTGAGCCTGATTCATGATTTTTGAACATTTGGGGTTGGTAATACTGTGAAAGTGACCTGAAAGTGTCAGTTTCACTCCTGTTTAAGGTCAGTTTCTAGTCTATTATTTGTAGTGGGGTAACACCCCTAGAGCCCCAGGCAGGTGCAGCATAAACTCACGGGGGCTTGGCCTAGTAGGATGTTTCCAAAAGTTAAATGATCTATTCCAAGCTTTTGGTGAATTGCAAAAAAGTGATAGAAAGTTATCTAGATTTTTCTACAATTGTTTCAGTTGTTATAGTCAAGAGTTAATAACAAACTAAAAATATACATGAAAATTTTAAACCTAACCAGTGTCCCATAGGTGAATTGACACAAGATGTCAGAACATGTTAGTATTAGAGCCGAGTGGGTCTAATATTTATTTATTTTTCTTCCTTTATATGGGAATTAGATACACTGCTGCTGTCAGTTATTATCTGCAAAAACCCAAGAGTTTTGAGGTGCCCAAGTAGCCCCTGGAATCACGGCTAAAGTTGCCCCCTCCCCGCAAAAAATCGGAAATGATGCCCCCGAAACAACGTGGAGGGATAAACCAGGGAAGCGAGAGCAGCAGCCCCAAGGCTCGCACACTGTACCTGGCTGGCTGTACACAGTCTCGGCGTCGATTTTGAATGTTCCTATGCGTGTTCCCAGGAACGGGATCTTCTTTGAATGAAAAACCTGCAAGTAACAAACAAATCCCATTGTGCCGCTGAAAGGCCCGGCTGTCACCAGGGCAGAGTGCAGCTGCTCAGAGAGGAATGGGCAGAGGAGACGGGCTGCTACCAACAGAACGATCCCGCAAGTAGAGCTCCACTCAGTAGGATGACCCTTCATTGGCACAGATGGCTGCATGCTTGTCATGAAACACACATGCAGCCCAGAAGCTTGGTGACCTCCCCCAGACATTAGGCCAGTCTCCCCACTGGGCCGGAGTAAAGGCCCCAGCCAGCCAACCTCTCTCTCATGCCCAAACTGACTCTCCTGAGCCAAGGCCCACACCAGGCCAACCACCCAAGGAGCCCGGGGCAAGGCCTGAGCCAAGCTGACTTCTCCCCTGGGCCCTAGACAAGCTGCTGCATGTGCCCAGAGCCGCCTGAGGCCTGAACCGTGCCAACCCCTCTCTCATGCGCAGGCCCAGGCTGACCTTCCCAACACACTGCGAGCCCAGTGAGGCCCAAGTTGACGTTTCATGTGCCTGCATTGACTGCATTCCTGCCCAGGGGCCAAGGCCTGGACTGAACTGAGCCAAGCTCCTAATCCATGCCTAGGAGGAGGCCTGAGCTGGGATGGCATCACTCCGGTGCCAAGCCAGGCTGGCCTCTCCTTCGTGCCAGGGCTGGGCACATTCCTGCAGGGAAGGGTGCTGTGCTGGGCCACAGGCGGAGGGCGGCAGGCTGCAGTAGAAGAAGAACCAGCATCTCTGGTCTCTGGCCTACGTTTCAACAAACAGGTGCTGCTTTTAACCTTCTTATTATAAAGAGCCTCAGGTGAGTTTTCTGAGCTTCAGGCCTTAGAGTCTTTAAAGGGCCTGATTCTGCCCTGCCTTCGCCTTGCACTGGCATTTATATACACGCAAGGGCTGCCAAGTCAGAAAGCCCCTTCCTCCCACCAGCTCTGCGGGCCAGGGGACAGGCAATGGAAACCATTCCTGGGGTGCCACTGGCTTCAATCTCCATCTGACGAGACTGAGAGCAGCTTGTGCCCCTACTAGGGGAAGAAAAACTGCTACAAAATGTCAACTTCTCTCCAAGAGACAAAGTGGGTGAGGTAATATCTTTTATAAGCTCTTCCCCAGGTCTGGGAAAGGTTCTCCGAGTGTCACAGCTAAATGCCAGGTGGAACAGATTGTTTAGCATAAGTAGTTAGCTCATATTCTAGGGCCCATTCAAGGCAGAGTGCCCCGTTACCGTTACCGGAATGGAGGAAGAAGTGGGCTGTAGTCCACGAAAGCTTATGCTCTAATAAATTTGTTAGTCTCTAAGGTGCCACAAGTCCTCCTGTTCTTCTTTTTGCGGATACAGACTAACACGGCTGCTACTCTGAAACCTCTGTGAGGCTTGACAGCTTGTCTCTCCCCAACAGAAGTTGGTCCAATAAAAGCTATTACCTCACCCTCCTTGTCTAATATCCTGGGACCGACATGGCTACAACTACACTGCAGACAACTCCTCTCCAAGTAAGTCAGCCGGAAATGGAAAAATAAACTTGGGGAAAGAATCTGGGCACATTTCTCCTGATGTTTTATTGTGAGGAAGGGGTGCTTGGTTCTCCCTTGGGGGCTCAATCAAGGCTGGGGAGGAACTCTCCCTGGACTCTCAGTCTCAGCTGGAGGGTCAGGGGACCCCTACGAACAGTTGTGCTGAAATAGCTTGATGGTATAAAATTACAACTGTGCATTTGCCAAGCAGATGTAACCCTGTGGGGCGTTATGAAAGCAGGAGACTGACAAGCTGTGTGCAGCTGGGATATCGACACGGTCAGACGCTGTGGCCCAATCAGTACCAACATGTAAGAGGGCACACTTGCTATATATGGCTAAAAAAGCATCAGCACTACCAATGCTTGCTCTGCCTGGGCTGCTGAAGGCGCTTGCCTAACACCACACGAGATGTGAAAGTGGGTTACAGACTGCTATTGACTACAATGGGCTTTGGATCAGGCCCTATAGCTACACATGTAGCTTGTATTATCTACAAGGAAGGCAGCTTTGTCTACTGGCTAAAGTAAGGGATGAGAGTCAGACCCCTTCAGATTTATTCCCAACTCTTCCACTGACTTGCTATGTGATGCTGGACAGGTCCTTTAACTTGTCTGTGGCTCAGTTTCCCCACCTGTAAAATGGGGGCAATACTGATGCCCTAACTTTGTACAAGAGCCTGAAGATCTCCAGGTGGAAGGTGCTGCCATAAACACACACGTACACACTCGGCACTTCAGTGCAGCATCTCAGTTATTGCCACTACACAGGGGGTGTGGGCAGCAGGGCATACTTACGGAAATCTCTATGAGTCTGTGAAATAAAACTTCCCTTGGTTCATGGAATTCAAACACAAAATACTGCAAGAGAAGAGAGAGAAAACTGAGCAAAGTGCCCCCATCGCAACCCCGACAGCCCCTCTCCCTGGACACAGCCTGTCAAGTGTGACTTGAATGAGGCTCAGCACCTGTGGGAGTGCTGTGCACTCTGTGTGACACTGGTTGGGTGTAAGCAGTGCTGTGCGCTCTGGTGACATTGGTTGGGTGTAAGCAGTACTGTGTGCGCCGCGTGACAAGCAGTGCTGTGCGCTCTGGTGATACTGGTTGGGTGTGAGCAGTGCTTTGCGCTCTGGTGATACTGGTTGGGTG